GTTCCTGCATCAAGAAAACTGAGGCCACACCCATAATTTTCATAGTGACAATAGAAGATGTGGTGGTATATTTGAACTTAGTAGAACGCCTCTTATTTTCTTCACTCTGAAGTTGGCTTCCTTGCCTATAAAGTTTGCTAGTAAACCCAAGAAATATGCCTGCTTTTCTGGGTGTGGTGACTCACGCCTGTAATGCCAGTACTTTGGGAGACAGAGGTGATAGGATTGTCTGAGCTCAGGGGTTCGAGATCAACCTGGGCAATTTAGCAAAACCTCCTCTTTTCAATAAATCAGAAAATTAGCTGGGCATGATGGTGCATTCCTGTAGTTCCAGCTACTTGAAAGACTGAGGCAGAAGGATCACCTGAGTCCAGCAGGTCAAGGCTGTGGTGGCTGTGAGCATGCTGCTACACTCCAACCTGGGTGACAGAGTGAGACCACAACTCCAAAAAAAAAAAAAAAAAGCAGACTACAACTCCAAAAAAAAAAAAAAAGCATATATATATATATATATATATATATATATATATATGCCTGCTTTGCTGCTTTAATGATGGAAATTCCTCAATTTTAAAGCTGCTTAGGCATTATTACCTACTTTCCAAGTGAGCTTTTTTCCTTTTCTTCCTTATCTACTTGTCTCATTCATTTATTTTTTATATTTTTAATATAGAAAGCTAGATATCTTAGAAATTTCTTCATTTCCAGCTTCTGGTACTATACACTTGTATCACTTCAATGACATGGTCCTTTTCCTAATGGTAATGCGACATTCTTTTGAAATATAAATGGCCTCTGACTTAGAGTGATTTGATATACAATTTTTTGATTTTATGATGGTGCGAAAACAATACATGTTCAATAGAAACCATACTTCACATTTTGAATTTTGATCTTTTCCTGAGCTAGTCATGTGCCCCACAGTACTCTTGAGATGTTGGACAGCTCCCTGTCAGCCACGTGGTTAAGAGGGTAAACAGCTGATACTCGGCAGTGGCCTGTGTTGCCAGATGCATTTGCTCAGCTGTAGGCTGATGTAAGCATTCTTGAGCATGTGGAAGGTAGGCAAGGCTAAACTATGCTGTTCTGAAGGTTAGGTGTATTCAGTGCACTTTCGATTTAGATATTTTCAACTTTCGGCTGGTTTACTGGACATAACCCCATGCTAAGTTGAGAAGCATCTGTAGTCTGCAAAGAAATACTTGCTCAAGGTGCTCATTTAGCTTAGCAGTACTTTAAAAGATATATAATCTTCATTTCAAAGCTGGTACCTTGGAAAGGTCTCAAACATCAGAAGACTGTTCCAATAGCAGCAAGATTGGATACTGCCTTGTAGTGTTGTAAGCTGAAGTTAGGTGTCATTTGCATCTTTTTTCTGTAGAATAAACTTTCTGGATTTGAGTCTATATATTGGATACAGCCTTGAGGTGAGAGAATGATTTCTGATGATTCCAGGGTGGCTTTAGACAAGTAGCAGGGACATCATGATGTTTTTCAGCTCTTTAGAAAGATAGGCATGAACTTTAATTCCTCCCAACTCAGTTTTTGTGATCATGTGCAGAAACTAGTAATCTTATGTTTAAAAAAAAAAAAAAAGGAGGTTAGGCGCAGTGGCTCACACCTGTAATCCCAGCACTTTGGGAGGCCGAGGTGAGAGGATTGCTTGAGCCCATGGGTTAGAGACCAGCCTGGGCAACTTGGCAAGACATCGTCTCTACAATAAATAAAAAAATTATCCGGGCATGGTGGCTCATGCCTGTAGTTCCAGCTACTTGGAAGGCTAAGGCGGGAGGATTGTCTGAACCCAGCTGGTTGAGGCTGCGGTGGCCTGAGTGTATCACTGCCCTCCAACCTGGGTGACAAAGTGAGACTCCAACTCAAAAAAAAAAGAGGAAGGTAAACTTGGACTTTAAATTATTTATTCACAGTCATCAAGCAGCCTGGGGTTGTCACTGTCTCTGAAAGCATAGAGCAGAGCTCTTGGACAAAGCCCACTCAATCTGGCCCCAGCTGCTCCCCAATGCCTGCTGTCACTCTAGAAAAAAAGAAGAGCAGGGCATGGGTACCCAACACCCTCAGCAAGCAGAGGGTCTTCTATTGTGGATTCGTTAGTTCTGCCTGTGCTGCAGGAGATACTTTCAAGTGTTTCCCAACTCTGTGTTGGGAATTAGCTGCATATCTAATTAAGCATTTTGGGTGTAATAAAATGTGTGTGCCTTTGACCCTGTGGTTCTGAGTCCTTGTTATTAATGACACCAGCTGACATTGGAGCCCTTCTGTCTGCCAAGCTGGCACCTCATGGGAAGTGTTTCATGGAAACGTCACAGCCACATGGCAAGGCTGTCCTGTTATTATCCCATTTTATGGATTAGGGAACATCCACACTTAGAAGTTAAGTAAACAGGAACCTACAACCTGTGAGTACCTAAGCTGGGATTTGAACTCTGAGTGCCAGGGGTCAGAGCCCACACCTGTCACCCCAAGGGGATTGTGCATAGCACATATGGGAATGCTCATGCCAGTAGCCTATGACTGGGAGTAATTAGGAATGTCTTAGGACACTTAAGTTAGTTATAGTATTGGCTTACATACAGCAGAATCCTGGGAGACCGTTAGAGATTGTTTAGAGATCTGTTTATGTGGAATGATGACCCCATTGTCAACAAGGATAAAGATGAAGAAACCATGTGTATGACATGATTTCATCTGTTTATGTGGAGTTGCATGGCATGGGCCTGTGCATAGTGACTTCTGGAAGGAGATTCATTGCTGAGTGATGAGGCTTCATATGATTTGTATATTTTTGGAGTTTTCAGTAGTCTTTGTCGCCCAGGCTGGAGTGCAGTGGCACGCTCATAGCCACTGCAGCCTTGACCTGCAGGACTCAGGCGATCCTTTCACCTCAGCCTTCTAAGTAGCTGGGACTACAGATGTGCGCCACCACACCCAACTGATTTTTTGATTTATTGTAAAGACAAGGTCTTGCCTGGTTACCCAGGCTGGTCTCGAAACCCTGGGCTCAGGCTGTCTTCTCACCTCCACCTCCCAAAGTTGCAGGGATTACAGGCGTGTGCCACTGCACCTGGCAGTATTTTTTAAATAATTATTATACAAAATTCTTTTTTTATTTTTTGAGTTCGAGTCTCACTCTGTCATCCAGGCTAGAGTGCAGTGGCATACTCATGACCACCACAGCCTCAACCCGCTGGGCTCAGGTGATCCTTCCACTTCAGCCTTCCAAGTAGCTGGAGCCACAGGCACGTGCCACTATGCCCAGCTAGTTTTTTTAAAAAAATTTTTGAACCGGGTTCGGTGGCTCAGCCTGTAATCCCATGCTTTGGGAGGCTGAGGTGAGTGAATTGCCTGAGCCCGTGGGCTCGAGATTCACCTGGGAAACTTGGCGAGACCTCATCTCTACAATAAATCAAAAAATTAGCTGGGCGTGGTAGCGCGCGCCTGTAGTTCTGGCTACTTGGAAGGTGGAAGGATTGCCAGAGCCCAGCAGGCTGAGGCTGCAGTGGCCGGGAGCGTGCCACTGCACTCCAGTCTGGGTGACAGAGTAAGACTCCAACTCAAAAAAAAAAAAAATTTTTTTTTTGTAGCGGTGAGGTCTTGCAAAGTTGCCTAGGCTGGTCTTGAACCCAAGGACTCAGGCAATCCTCTCACCTCGGCCTCCCAAAGTGCTGGGATTATAGGCATGAGCCACCGTGGCTGGCCAGGATACATAATTCTTATTGAAAGGTGGGGCTGTTATCAAAAGATAAATTTAGATGTGGGAGAAATTCATATATGACTTTGATTTTTCCAAAGATTTCTATGAAGTTGCAGGTGAAGGATGAGTGATTGAGCACCATCAAAACTTGAGAGGCAGCAGGTGAGAGTTGTATGTTCAAGGTTCCCTGAAGAGCAGCTGGAACGATGCCCTTGATACCACTCCAGAATATGCTGTGTGCATCTCACCTCATGGGTGTCTGGGGTTATGCCCTGCTGCTGGCTGGTACCTTCTCCTTTTGGGAACAGTGTGGAACATTGGCTTCCTCAGTCACAGTTTTCTGGACAGGAAGATACTGGGCCTCTCTGCTTTCTTAATTGAAGCAAAATAGAATAAGATGACACTTAGGTCTCATTAGCATCCCTGGTAGACACCATGCCTCTGCACCCAGCCATCTCCATAGAAAGTAGGACATTGCTATATAGAATCAGTGGCGGTATCCTTCTGGTAGTGTTGTTGAAGTGAAAACACGTTCCAGGCCTTGGTCTCTAGGCTCTTGGCACCTCTACCTCTGGGAACTTGGCAGAGAAGTTTATCACTCAGTTTCCAGGGGTTAACTTCCCATCTGGGAGTAGCATCCCATCCCTCTACAGCACACTGCTCCTAACCAAGAAATTGGGGTAGACTTAGAACTTTGTCTTTTCAGCGTTTCTTGCCCCTGGAGCGTCTATCTTCATCACAGTGTCTCTGAACACACTGCCAAGGTGGCATCTGGCAAAACTTTGGATATCCATGAATGCATCTTCCACGTTTGATTTCTTCAGTGGCTTCCCTTGCATGCAAAGATGGGGGTAGTTTCATTTTATTTCGTCCTTTAGGTTTTAAACATTTAATCTAAAACAATTAAGTGCTTTAATTGGGTGGCCTTTTTTTCCTATTTTGCTTTCTCTCCCTTCAGTCTAGTCCCTCACTTGTCTACTCACCCTTGTGTCAGCTGCCGGATACTGACTCTGAAGAGGCTTGGAATCTGAAGAGCTCAGGAAGTGGACCCACCTCCCTGTCCCCACACCTTAGCAGGGCACCATCCCAAAAGGGACCTCCTATATCCACATGTGTTTATTCCATCTAGGTTGGTTATCCTAGAAGGTCTGAGAAACAGGGTATGCTGATTTTGCTAGAATTTATGCTTGTTTCCTTCCTTAGTGTAGAAATGCTATAAATGATCTCATTTGATATTACTTTATGAAATTATAAATGTCTGATGGATTTATGTGTTTGATTTCAACAGCTACTCTAACCTACGACACTCTCCGATTTGCCGAATTTGAAGATTTCCCTGAGACCTCAGAGCCCGTTTGGATTTTGGGTAGAAAATACAGCATTTTCACAGGTATCTGCCACATTGGAACCCACTCTGCTCTGGCCGCTCATTCTGCAGAAAGCATTTTGGGATACTAATTGTTATCTGCTACTGTTCTGTAACATGTGACTTACAAACTTAAGGCTTTGAGTGTGTGTGTTTTTTCTTTTGACAAATTCTAGAGAAAGACGAGATCTTGTCTGATGTGGCATCTAGACTTTGGTTTACATACAGGAAAAACTTTCCAGCCATTGGTAAGTATCTCATTTCATTACAACGTGTTACAAGATATACATGTTTTAGGAAGAAGAAAAATGTATGCTTATGGTTTTGGCTTCAGTATGCCAGATAGTTTGGGTATTTTTTTTTCTTTTTTTTTGAGCTGGAGTCTCTTCTCACCCAGGCTGGAGTGCAGTGGCACACTCACAGCCACCTCAGCCTCGACCTGCTGGGCTTAGGGGATCCTTCAACCTCAGCCTTCCAGGTAGCTGGCACTACAGATGCATGCCACCACGTCCGGCTAGTTTTTGTGATTTGTTATAGAGATGAGGTCTCACCAGTTGCCAAGGCTGGTCTCGAACCCCTGGGTTTGGGCAACCTTCTTGCCTCAGCTTCCCAAAGTGCTAGGATTACGGCTTGAGCCACCGCTCCCAGCCCAGGAAGCACTTTTAATAGAATGTAATTTAGTATAATGTAATTTTATTTCTACAAAAAAATAAATAATAATAATAATTAGCCAGGCAGGATGATGTGCGCCTATAGTCCCAGCTACTTGGGAGGCCGAGAATGGAGAATTGCTTAAACCTAGGAGTTTGAGCCTGCGGTGAGCCATGATCATGCCACTGCACACCCAGTCTGGACAAAAGAGTGTGAGACCCCCGACTCAAAAAAAAAGTTAATTAGTTAATTAAATAAAATAGAAGTGCTTCCTCATTGTGTATATCCTGGAGGTCAATGGAGCATGGGGACCTGCTCTTGGCCTTGCCTCTCACAGTTAGAGAATCTGAGACTGGAAGATGGGACCAGGCTGACAGTCATACCTCCTCAGTGACTGAGCCACAGTTTGGTTCCTCTTCTAGTTATAATTTCAGTCTTTCTCCAAAAGTGAGGTGGAAGTAAAATAGCTACAATGGATTGACAGTGGAGAACACTAGAATATAGGGAAATAAGGTACATGGCCCCTCGGGTTGATATTTAATGATATAATTTGTCAGATATTCTCAGAGAATAGTTGTTCATTCCACAAATGCTTGTTATATTCCTGCTCTGAGCCTACCCTATGCTTGGCCCTGGATGCAGGTTCATCCCTAGCCTCTACTTCCTTCATAACAACTCTGTTAGGGTGCTAGGAAAGAGAACAGGACTAGAGAGCAGCCTTTATCATTTGGCAGAGTTGTGGAGGAGACAGAGGCTGAGGATGAAGGAGCTCCATTGCAGTTCTAAAGACTAAATGTGTGTTTCCTTTCTTAGCCCTGTAGAGATGATTTTTTAAAATTAATTAAATTTTTATTTCATTCTAAAAAAATATATTATTCTACAAAAGAGACAAGGTCTTCCTGTGTTGCCCAGGCTGTAGGGAAGTGGCATGATAATAACTCACTGCAGCCTTGAACTCCTGGACTCAAGCCTTCCTCCTGCCTCAGCCTCCCAAGTAGTTGGCACTACAGATATGCACTACCACAGCTGGCTTTTTATTTTTTGTAGAGATGAGGTCTCACTATGTTGTCCAGGCTGCGTCAAACTCCTGACCTCAAGTGATCCTCCTGCCTTAGCTTCGCCAAGTGCTGAGATTACATATGTGAGCCACCACACCTGTCCTGAATTTTTATTTTAGAGATGGGATCTGGCCGTGTAACCCAGGCTGGCCTCAAACTCCTAGGCTTAGGCAGTTCTCCTGCCTGAGACTTTAGGTGTGCACCACCACGCCCAGCTAGAGATGTTTTTATCAGAAGTGTGGTGGGGGTAATGATAGACACTGCTGATTGGGTTGTTGATGTGTGCCAGCCACCACTATCCCAAGAGTCAGGGTTTGTTGTCCTCCCCAGTACATGAGAGGTGGGTAAAGCGTGGCTCAGGACTGCAACGCTCATGATTTGACCCTGAATCTCTGCTCCCCACCACAGTACAAACACCTACCTGCCTGTTGCTTGCTACCCAGGTGCTCCACCCCCACCCTTTTTGTCATAGCTGCACAGTGGCATTCCATTGAACTCTTGCTGTGGGCTGACAAGACCCTTCTCAATTGTCTGTCATGTTTCACATGGTTCCCCAGTACCTATTGTCAGCATTCCTGGGCCCCAGTGAGTGGTTGTGAGGTGGCAAGCCTGGCCTGTGTGCTGGAAGGACTAAATGGCTGCTCAGTGTTGCTGCTTTTGCGGCCCCTTTCTGCACTCTCAGCAGTACTGGGTGTTACCAAGCCTTTGAATTTTTGCCTTTCTGGTAGTTAGACAAGAATTCTTGTTTAACTTGATTATTTTCAGGATGACTTGTGGGGTCAGTGTCTTTTGTTTTCTTTTTTCTGTTTGTTCTTTTTGGAGTTGGAGTCTCACTGTGTCCCAGTCTGGAGTGTAGGGGCACAATCATGGCTCACTACAGCCTCAACCACATGGGCTTTCCTTGGCCTCCCAAGTAGCTGGGACTGCAGGCATGCATCACCATGCTTGATTATTTTTTTATTTTTATTTTTTTGGAGAGATGAGATCTTGTTATGTTACCCAGTCTGGTCTTGAACTCCTGGGTTCAAGCAATCCTCCTGCCTTGGCCTTGCAAAGTGCTGGCATTATAGCTGTGAACCACCATACCCAGCCCTTTTTGTGTGTTTGCCAGACATTCCTGCTGCTTTGTGTTTGATTTGTTCCTGCATATTGTGCATTTTGAGGACTTTGTTTTTTGGGACATTCCACTCTTCAGTAAATGTGGCCATTGGCATAACAAAGTCCTCAGAGGTGTATGTTATTCAAGGTGGAGCTGGTGGATGAGGGAGTTGGTGCCTGCAGTGTGGGACTGACCTGATGCCTCCTGATGGTGGACTCTTGGCCTCTGATGGGCCATCTGACTGTGAGCATTTTTCTCTCTATCCCTCTATGACAGGGGGAACGGGCCCTACCTCGGACACAGGCTGGGGCTGCATGCTTCGGTGTGGACAGATGATCTTTGCCCAAGCCCTGGTATGCCGGCACTTAGGCCGAGGTGAGTCACTGCCCTGAGGGAGAACACTCAATCATGATGTTCTTTAAATCCTGGAGAATTTGGCTTTCAACTTTAGAAAGATTCAAAAGAGGTTTGGATACTATCTGTATCTTGAGTGTTTTGTAGGAGTGAAGACTTGTTTTTTATGTTTATGGTAGAACTGACCTTTGTTTTTTTTTTTAATAGATTGGAGGTGGACACAACAGAAGAGGCAGCCAGACAGCTACTTCAGCGTCCTCAACGCTTTCATTGACAGGAAGGACAGTTACTACTCCATTCACCAGATAGGTGGGAGACTGCCTATTGAGTATGCCTGGGCTGTTTGGAAAGGGTGGAATCGTTGGTTTTCCTTAAGAGCTTTTCTGATATTATGGTATGTAGAGTGGGAGGCTCTGGGTCACACTGGCCTCTGATCGCCTGAGGGCTGCTGAGGGCAGTATAGCACCAGCCCAGATCTGAGGCCTTGCCCTCTCTGCTGTCCACATGGCCTGAAGTGCTTGTTGCTTGTATAGTCGGTGGAAATCAGACTCAGTTTCGAAGGTTCCTTCTTCCCTATGGCCCATCTGTGAATCTGAATGCTTGGATTGAAGAATGAAGACCAGCTGACCTTTGTTTCAAACAAGCTCAGCTCTTGAGCACTATGGTCTCAGTTACAGAAGGAAGTAGTCGTTTCATTTCCTTGCTTCCCCTCCTTAAGTTCATTGTGAAGGACAAACCTCGAGGCGTTGTCTGACCCTTTTCTGCCTCCCTGCATCTTGTTGGAGCATTCCTCCATCTGGAGGCAGTGTAGGAGGTGGCTGTCTAGGCCTTCCTGTAAAGTATATCTGGGTGCCACATGCCACCTGAGGTCTGGGGTTGGGGGTGTTGGGATGGCCAGGGGAAGGTGTGTGTCACTAATCTAGATCTGTTCTCTGCAGCGCAAATGGGAGTTGGTGAAGGCAAGTCTATAGGCCAGTGGTACGGGCCAAACACCGTTGCCCAGGTCCTCAAGTATGTACTGCATCTCAACCTGCTCTTTCTTGGGGGGCAGCCTGAAGATTCCTTGGGTCTTCGTTGCAAAAGAAAATAAGGGTTCCATTATTCTTTCCTGAGAGGGCCCCTAGGAGATTCCTCAGAGGTGACCCTGCCAAGTGGTCTTACGAATCAGAGTTTACGTTTTCTAGTAAAATGAACACCTTAGTCCAGATCCTGTCCATTGGATTAGGCCCTTGTTCTTTGTCTGTCACATGGGTCCAGTAACAGTGGCTTCTGATGGTATGAGGAGTTGAAACCTGTCTAGAAGTCTTTTTTTTTTTTAGGGGGTAGTAGTCTCACTCTGTCGCCCAGGCTGGAGTGCTGTGGCACATTCATGCCACCGCAACCTCGACCTGCTGGGCTCAGGCAGTCCTTCTGTTTCAGCATTCTAAGTAGCTGGAAACACAGGCACACACCACCATGCCCGATTAATTTTTTTTTAAAATGTAGAGTTGAGGTCTTGCCATGTTGTCCAGGCTAGTCTCGAACCTCTGGGCTCAGGCAATCGTCCCAAAGTTCTGGGATTACAGGCATGAGCCACCATGCCTGACAAATCACAGAAGTTTTGTGGGGAAAGGCAGCCATTCATGTGGGTGCTGGGCTCTTCTGCCTCTCTGGGCTTGTTGGAGGCTAGTGTCTGCTGGTCTGACCCATCTTCTTCACATTCCTTGAAACTTCTCCGTTATCTCAATCTCCTTCCACATTGTTGGGAGTCTACCTGGGCTTCACTTCCCGTAAGTCCCCAGCTGTCCTTTCTTCCTCATATGCCTAGATGTCTGAAAGCTTAGTCTGCACCTGTTTTCCCTCTCACTTCACTTGTTCTGATCAGATGTTTGCCCCTGCTGTCCCCCAGCCCTGCCCCTGCACCATGGATTCCTCTGAGATGGCTCTTCTGCAGTTGTCAGAGACTTGCAAGTGGTTTCGGGTCAGTTGCTACTTGTCAGTCCTCTTGACCCGTCAGGGTCATTTGGCCTGATTCACCCCTCTCTGTGGCTGTGTGCCTTGGCATACTAGCATTTCTAGAGGTGCTCTGGGCCAGTGCCCCAGAACTTACCCACTTGGGTTTTCTTCCCTAATGGGCTGAGGGACAGTGTCTCCCAAGTCTGTCTCCACTTGCAAAGTTGAAGCCCCTCCTCATGCCTCTGCCTGCTCCATATTCCCTCAGGACCCACACTTGATGTTTCTGAGATGGCTCTTTCTTCCTCACCTCCAGTCTGCTCCTCCTCAACATGATAGTTGCTCTCTGCACCCAGCTTCTGTTGTCAGGTTCTCTGGTACTATCCTGGACATGTCCCTCTCTCCCACATCCCACACCCTCAAGCCTACTGCCATCTCTGTCTCCTTGGTCTGCCCTGCATGTGGCACAGTACCTGCTGAGCCCCTGCCACATGCCCTTTAGTCCTCTGTAGTTCGCCTGTATGGTCTGCAGCTGCCAAGCCCTCATCACACCCCCTCCACTGACACCTTCCTGCTGCTGCCTGGAGTGGCCCCGTCGAGGTCACCATCAATGCTGTCATCATGTCTGAAGCTGAGCTTCCATCCCTATTTTAGCCAGTAGTAAGCAGCCCTTGGCACAGGTGCTTGCTCTGTTTCTGGAAACACCAGGCCACTCAGCCACACTTGCCTCTTCTTTCCCACTGGCCTCTTCTGCCTCTGTTGCTGGATATTCCTCCCTGACCTGCTAGTACTACAATACCCAGGCCTGTGGCTGCCTCTCTGCTGTCTGCACATTGACAGCTTCCAGAGTTGTATCTTCAGGGCTGACTTGTCCCCAGACTCCAAACTCACATCCAGCTGCTTATTCAGTGTCTCCTTATTGTTTTCTGCGGTACTGAATGCCTGCCACACTTGGTTATTTCCTCCTGGTCTGCCTTCCTCTAGCACATCAACCTTACAAAGGGCCGCCTTGTCTTGTATGGCCATGTGCCTTCAGCACTGAGGCTGAGCTGGAGGGAGGGAGGAGGATAGCAGCTCAGTAGAGCAGGCTACTCTCCCAGTGTCCCCTCTTGACTTCCCATCAGGAAGGGCTCTGTGTGGTCACCTGATGCTCTTCCCAGGCACAGGTCCCTCATTTTGCCCTCAGGCATACCAGTCCTCGCTGTCTCAGGGCCTTGGCAGGAGCTGTTCCCATACCTGGAGCATTTCTGCTTGCCTTTCTAGTCCTTCGCTTTTTATATGTGTCTTCTGACCCCAGTTCCACAGCACCTGAGACGGGATCAGTTACTCATTTACTTTTTGCTACAAAGTTGCTCTTCCTTCAAGCCTTAAGCCTGTGTTCCCCATTAAGTTGCAGCTTTCTCTATGAGTACTCAGACTCCTTAGTTGTCAGTTCAGCAAGCTTGGTGGAGGGGGGAGCAGAGCATGTGGGTGCTGAAGGTACACACTGAGATGGGGCTGATCCCGCCTCCAAGTTGCTGAAGCCTGCAGGACCTGAGAACTAGGGTCATGTTCTGGTTCCCACCTGTGTGCCAGTGGTCTCAGGAAACCAAGCTGCACAAGCATACCCTGTGTGCATGCTGTCTACGAATGGCAACCAGGGATGAGGGAAGGGTCACTGTACCCCAGGCTAGAAGAACCAGGTTCTACCTTCATCCTGTCTGTGGTATTGGACATGCCCCTGGACTTTCTGAGCCTTGGTCTTTCTTATCCGAGAAGCAGCTCTAACACTGTAGCACTTTTTTCCCATGGTTGTTACTGCAAAGGTGAAATGTTTCTGAGTTCTAGAAAAGCTTACAGGTGTGTTCTCCTGCTTTCTGTAGGAAACTTGCCGTCTTCGACACGTGGAGTGCCTTGGCAGTTCACATAGCAATGGACAACACTGTGGTGATGGAGGAAATCAGTAAGTAGCTCAGGGTTTCAGATGACAGGAAAGTAGGAATTGTGGATGACACGTTTCCTGCCTCTGCCCATGGAGGAGCCTCAGCATGAGCATTGTCAGTCTCTCAGGGCATTGCTGGCACTCCACAGGGCCAAGCCAGATGCCTGGTAACCTTCTTTTATCGAGTAGACCAGGCTAAGAGAGGAGGGCTCAGATTCTCTCTGGAGGCGAGTTGCTTAGTACCCCTCATCACTTTTTGTGTCTTTATTGCAAATAATTTGTTAAGGAGTGCTGTGTTTAGCATTTATGCAGAAATTCTGGCTAAATTTTTTGTGTGCATTAATAGACCACAAAGAAATATAAAATCAACATTGTAACTCCACTATCTTGAGCAGAAGGTGTCTCATGAAGAAAGAGCGTGCTCTGTTCAACTTCCTGGAAGAAATGTCTACTATAAACCTAAAGGAACCCAGCCATGCTAGAGTTTAAGTCTAGGATGGAATTATGGCTTAGTTTGAACAAATGACCTCATTGAGTGAATTCCAAGCCTGTGTTTCATGTTTCATGGTGCACCCAGGCTGGTAGATCTCTTGTTAATGCCTCATTACATTCCCATTCAGCAGCACCTTTTCCCAAAGAGTTTCTCAAAGCTGCTTCAACCTCAGTTGTGTTGAAGTTCTACCATGTAGGCTGTAGCTTTGAATCCAGTTTTACTTAAGAGAGAGCACATGAAGAGACATCCTAGAATTGCACAGAAGTGAGCAGAAGTGAGTTTTGCCCATATGGTTGTAGGTGTGGCGGCAGAAGTGAGTTTTGCCCATATGGTTGTAGGTGTGGTGTGCCACCACACATTGTTGAGTTGTGTGTTGGATCACAGACATGTCACTTCTGTGCCAGAGTGCTGGGGCCTCTCCATCCCACTTCTTCATCCTCTCTGGCCATCCTGGGGGCATGGCGACAGTGTCAAGAGGGAGCAGGCATGGGACATTCTCATATAGAGCAACGCCAGCTTCTGCAGCTTTGAATACTTTGCCATGGGACACTTTCCTTCCATAATTCTGTTCCCCAGAGTGACAAACTTGGGACCATAACTGAAGGATGTGTGTTTCTTCCTTCTGCCTTTTCTCCCTTATTCTGTTTCTTGAATTTTTTATAAAGCATTAGAAACTTAGGAAAAGTACAAAGAAAAATCACTGATTTTTCCACTCAGAATTAACTCATATTTAACATTTTGACGTACTTCTAGTGTTTTTTCTGTGCTTGTCAAAAACTTATATAGTATCATAAGCACTTTCTCCTGGCAGTGAAAACATAACCACTTTATTAACTAGCTATGCAATATACTATTATACCTTAACTCCTCCCTTGTCCCTGTATTGGGGAAATCGCCCATCATTCTCCACCTACCCCCAGGCTCATCTAATCACACCTCAACGCTTGGCTTCAGACTAGGTAGGCTGGTTGCTTGGGTGTGGTGGCCAGAAAGGGGTGAGGGACAGGTGGCTTCCCAGGATTTCTATCTCCCTGGGAGCATGTGGCGCTGGTGGGAGCTGTGTGGAAGGAACTTGACTGTATTGGGCCCCAGCTTCATCTCAGGGCCATCTGGAGTGGCACTGCTGGAAGTGGAAGTTGTCAGAAGAGGGTGGGATTGGATCCTGGGGGAAACCTGAGTCTGTGTCACAGTCCCCAGTGGCTCTCAGGAGGATGTGGGGACTGCCTGGCCTGACCAGTTCAGTCTCACCATGTCATCTGCCACTTTCCCTAGTTGGAAAGGATGCCTCTTACAGGAACGTGTGGAAGATGTCTTTCGCCTGAATTTAGGAAGAAGGGCATCCAAATCCAACCAACAAAGGCACTGAGACTGGTAACTAGGGCCTGGGTTTCTGAGCATAGGTTAGTGTGTTGAGGGGTAGGTTAGGGTAATGTTAAATGGCGCATATCAGTTTCCTTTGGCTTTGGGAGACTCAGGAGAGAGGCATGGAGGGAACACAAGAACAGGCTGCTTTTCTGTTCCACTGCTGAAGGTTGCCCAAGGTAGCAGCTTGGGAGAGAAGTCAGCAAAGCAGAAGCTAAAGAGACAGTTCCTTGGCCAAAGCAAGGACTTTTTTCTTCTAATTCCTCAGAACTGCTTGTGAAAGGAACAGTAAGATAGGAAAACATCAATAGGGTTTAAGGACTAAAGCTCCTTCCTCCAGTGAAAGAGCTGCCTGATGGCGTTCCCATCAGATTTTAGGTAAAGCATGCTGGGCAAGGGACAGCCTTGCTGCCGGGAATGTCCACCTATCTTTCTACCCACCTATCCCTAATCACCAGCTGTCTATCCTTCCATCCACCCCTGGAAGGCCAGCCAAGATGTCCACAGCAGCCTCTGCTAGCCCTTGATGTTGATAGAGTTAGATTTTCTCACAACAGCAGACAATGGGAATGTCGCTGGATAGAGGGGGAAATTACAGATTGGAAAAGGTATCTGGCAGTGAGTACAAATGACACCAGTGAAAGAAAATAAATACCGAAGAATCATAATAGCTGAAACCGAATTCTTTTGAGAAGTGGTACTATAAAATAGAGGTGGCAGAAAGCCACATGTGTGGATTATAACTTTTCCACAGGTGAGAACAGTCAATGCTGAAGGAGTAAGAGAAAATTCCCCTGAGTTACTGAGAGTTGGGTCTTTAGACGTAAAGACCCCCATATTTTTTTTATCAAGAGTACATATATACCACATGTTCCTGGTAATAGTTTCAAATTGCAAAAATAAAGAGAAACTTCTGTAAGCACCCAAATAACAATAATACTAAGCTGCAGTCCAAACTGGCCTGGGCATCTCATCTCATGCCACACCAAATAATCCTGAAAAATATTTTTAATTTTGAAGAAAGATCTATTTTAATGAGGTGGAAATATGCATACCTATTATGTAATTGTTGTTGATAGAGGAATAGAAATTTCAAATATGTATAAAGGGTATAGGGAGTACGAGAACATTACAGATAGCTACAGGGATGAGCAGTTATATTGACAGCAGGGCATTGGTTACACAGCAGGGCCCATGCTCAGTGATGGGCTCCAGAGTGCAGTGGTGATAGGCCCTCTGCACATCAGAGTCCTTGAGCTGATCCACGCATCTGGTCATATTCCTGAGACAGGAGGGTCCGTGCTGGTAACAGCAACTGCAAGGAAAAAATCACCATGAAGCTTTTCACCAAAACATAACCTCAAAATCAGTAAAGCAAGGCTGGGTGCTGTGACTCAAGCCTGTAATTCCAGCACTTTGGGAAGCTGAAGTAGGAGGATCACTTGAGTCCAGGAGTTTAAGAACAGCCTAAGCAACATAACAAGACCGTATCTCTACAAAAATTTTTTTAAAACAATAAATACGCCAGGTGTGGTGGTATGTGCATGTAGTCCACTACTCAGGAGACTGAAGTAGGAAGATTGCTTAAGCCCAGGAGTTTGAGTATGCCACTGCACTTCAGCCTGGATGAGCATGCCATTGCACTCCAGCCTGGACGACAAAGTGAGACCCCGAATGAGGAAAAAAAAATAAAGCAAAATATGCAGAATATAAAGAATAGTAGGGCCAGGCTCTGTGGCTCATCCTGTAATCCCAGCACTTTGGGAGTCCGAGGCAAGTGGGTTGCCTGAGCCTGTGGGTTCAAGACCTACCCAGGCAACTTGGTGAAACCTCATCTCTGTAATAAAAAAATTAGCCGAGCATAGTAGCACGTGCCTTTAGTTCCAGCTACTTGGAAGGCTGAGGCAGAAGGATCACCTGAGCCCAGGTTGCAGTAGCCATGAGTGTGCCTCTGCACTCCAGCCTGAGTGACAGAGTGAGACTCGAACTCAAAAAAAAGAGTAATAGGACAAATAGGGAAAAAACAAAGTTAGAGAACCAAAGTAAACACTAATAGTTTAATAGAACCATGTCAAACTCTAGATTCTAATGACAAAGTATACCTTTTTAAAGTGTTCATGGGACATTTATATAAAACTAATGCAGAGTAAAATGAAAAGAACAAAACCAGCCGGGCTTGGTGGTTCAGCCTATAATCCCAGCACTTTGGGATTATTGTAGAGATTGGTGAGACCTCATCTCTACGATAAATCAAAAATTAGCCGGGTTGAGGGCTGCAGTGGCCGGGAGCGGCCACTGCACTCCAGTCTGGGTGACAGTGAGACTCCAACTCAAAAAAAAGAGAACAAAACCTTACTACTTAGAGATTTTAAATCTCTATCTTAGCTTTGGATCAAAAAAGTCAAGTTTATAGAGTATAATTATGTACCAGAGTCTAAAATACACAGAAGAAAACCTATATGTACCTTCAGAATAGATGACCAGACTTTTTCAAGTGAAAATTAATGAGATAAGCATATAACTCAAGAATTTAGGAAAAGAGGCTGGGTATGGTGGCTCATGCCTATAATCCTAGTACTTTGGGAGACTGAGGCCAGGAGAATTGCTTGAGCCCAGGAGTTCAAGACCGGTCTGGAAAACATAGACCTCATCTCTAAAAGTAAAAAATAAATTAAAAAAAATATTTTAAAGAAATGGCAGAACTGATAAATTCTAGAACTGGCTTTTTGAAACAGTAATATGTGTGTTTAGAAATCAGAAAAGTGTAAGTAACCAGAGATAAAAAGTTAAAATCCCTCCCTCCTGGAGTTTTTTTTTCCCAGTGCTTTTGAAGACGTTCACAGTCCTACAAAAAAGTTCAGTGAATCATAGCCGTAAATTTTTCACCCAGATCTAATAGTTGTGAGTAATTTGACACACTTGCTTTTTATGAGCAAGCCTCTCCTAAGAATGAGAACATCCTTCAGAACCACACAGCCTTGCTATCGCAATCAGGAAAGGCAGCACCACTGCTGTCTCAGGCTTCTTCTCTTGCCCCATCTTGTGCCCCAGCTGTTGCAGGAACAACCTATGTTACTGATTTGTGTTCCTGATTGAGGATTCAACATTGCCATACCTTTTTAATCTCCTTTAATCCAGAAAGTTCTGCCTCTTTTTTTTTTTGGTCTTTCATAGCATTGACCTTTTTGAGGAATCTAGGTCAGTTAACTGTCCCCCATGCTAAATTTGTCTATTTCTTTCTCATGATTGGGATCAAGTTAAATCTTGTGTCCCCTTAGTGCATCCCATCAGATGGCCTGTAATGTTACTTTGTCCCATTGTCAGTAATGCTACATTGGATCACCTGGGTAAGGTGGTGTCTTTCTTTGTAAGTAAGGAGTTACCCATGGGTGACGCTTTACATGCATTGGTGAGCTTGTAATGAATTGCTTGTTGCAGGTATGGCTAAAAACGGTAGTTTTCTATCCCATCTTTTCCTTACACATTTATTGGTTGGCATTCTTTCCTCCCCCCACATTTAAATTTGAAAAACATTTTCCAAGTTGGTGGGCTCATGTACAATGTTTGACAATTAAGTTCGCGAACGCATCCTAGAAAAAGTACTACATCATTGCTGTATATCACTGTAGTCATCTTTGAAGTACTCCCCTTGGGAAACCATGCACTGACACTAGCGCCTAGTCCACCCATCAAAGCAGTTTTGGAACTCTTTCTGCAATGGCCGTAAGAACTGTGGTATTACCCTTGATGTCCTGAATGTCATAAAAATGTCTTTCTTTCAATACTTCCTTTATCTTCGGGTAAAGAAAAAAGTCCTTGGGGACCAGATCAGGTGAGCAGGGAGAGGTTCCAACACTGTTATTTGTTTACTGGCTAAAAACTCCCTCACAGATAGTGCTGTGTGAGCTGGTCTTTGTCATGATGCAAGTGCTCCTTCGGGACATTTTTGCATACACCTTTCTTATGCCAAGATTTTCAGTTAAGATTTTCCTAATTGTTTCTCAACTGATGTTGATTTGGTCTGCTATGCTTCTCACAGTCAGCTGACAATTTTGATTCACAATTTGTTGAAGTTTTGCAATGTTTTCATCAGTTCTGCTTGTTACTGGTCATCCTGGCCTTTCTTCATCAGTGGTGCTTTCTCTCCCTTCAGAAAAATGTTTAATTCATTTGTACACTGCTGTTTTCTTCATGGCATTATCCCCATAAACTTGTACTAGCATGTCCCTGATTTCACTTCCACTCTTGCCAAGTTTAACAAGAAATTTAATGTTTGTTCGTTGCTCCAATTCAAGCCCCGACATTCTCGCGATGGCACACAAAAAACATGCGGCAACAATAATGATCACCGCTCAGCAATACAGCACCACATGTTGACGTGTAAGAGCATGGTGGCAAGTTCGTGAACTTAATTGTCAGACCTTGTATCTGTTTTATCCAGTGTGTTATCTGACACTGTTGTTCTTTTTGATGTTCAGTGGCCCTACATTTGGCCAGTAGCCCTCTCAGGCTGACTCTATCTTTTGACGTGTTCCTGGCATTTTTTTTTTCTTTTTTGAACACTTCTTACATTCTGGCATTATAACTAAATGTTCCAGGCTCCTCCTGTGCTTTCCCTGCCTAGCTTTGGAATTAGCCCTGGTTCCTTTTAGTGGGGAATGGTCTTCAGAAACCAATATCTGGGCACTGGGTGTGCTCAGTCCTCCTGAAGTTTCTTCCCATCAATAAGCCCTCTGGTTAATGAATTTATGGAACGATTGATTACTTGGTATGTTTAGATGAAAGAAATAAGTAAAGGAATTTTTCTTGAATGTCTAAGGAGAGGCCTCAGAAGGGATTCTGGGAAAGCTGTCTCTGGCCGGGCTGGTGGACTACATGGGTATTATTTTGTTATTTTCCTTTAAAGTGCACATGGATTTTTATTGCACTATTTTGTGTGTGTGCTTTATTTCACAATAAAAATTTTAAATTGAGTATGTATAGGAAATGTTTGTTTCTTTTTTTCTCTTTGGTAAGACTATGGAAATTTTTTTCTAACTTTTTTTTTATGTTTTCCAAGTTTGAAGTGTCTTTTAAGCCCTTGGCTTTGTAATACCCCTTTTCTGTTACAAAATAATTACGTACTTGTTTCTTTAGGGAGAACTTTTGCCTAGTTTTGTCTGGCCTATAAATGCATGTCTCCCTTTCCAGGAAGGTTGTGCAGGAGCAGCCTTCCATGTGTAGGGGCTGCCGCATTTCCTGCAGACTCGGAGTGGCACTGCAACGGATTCCCTGCTGGCACCGAGGTCACCAACAGGCTGGCACCGTGGAGACCCCTGGTGCTTCTCATCCCCCTGCGCCTGGGGCTCACAGATATCAACGAGGCCTATGTGGAGACATTGAAGGTGCATCCCACAGTCCTGGCTCTTGCCCTGGGACCCCTTCTCCTAGTTTTTAGTCATTTTCAGTGTATGGTCACCATGTGACCATTTTGTGCAGCCAGCTTTCTAGGGTGGGAGTAGGTAATCACTGTTTACCAAGGAGTAAATTTGACTTGAGGCACATCCATAGATAGAGCAAGGCAGGAAAGGTCTACTTTAATTCTACAAGTGTGATAACTAGTGTTACAGCGAACGTTGAAAATGAAAATGTCAAAAACTTGGTAAAGGGTTCTCAGAACTGGGCACTCTGCTCCCTCTGCCTGACAGGGAGCAAGCCCAACGGTCTCTCCAGGTCTCTGCTGTGCCCCAGGTATTCTCCCCACACTCCCCTTTCAAGGGTGGGTTGACCTGCGAGGAGTTGCAGTCAGGGCTTGGGGGTGACAGATGAGCCACTGAGAACTCCATCCATAAGCTCCTTTGGAGAGCCCCACCCATGTCACGAAAGCAAAAGGCAAAACCTTCCTTTTTTCAGTTAACTCAAATTTTGGAACAAGAAATCACATTTGAGAGCATTACTATATGGCATTGAAATGCTGCTTTTTATTAAAAATCTTTCAGCCACCGGGGGTGGTGCCTCATGCCTGTAATCCCAGCAGTTTGGGAAGCAGAGGCAAGAGGATTGCCTGAGCCCAAGGTTGCGAGGCCAGCCTGGGCAACTTGGCAAAACTTTATCTCTACAATACATGGAAAAATTAGACAGATGTAGTGGTGCACACCTGTAGTTCCAGCTACTTGGAAGGCTGAGGCAGGAGGATCTCCTGAGCCCAGCAGGTTGAGACTGGTGGCCATGAGCTGCCACTGCATCCCATCCTGGGCAACAGAGTGAGACTCCAACTCAAAAAAAAAGAAATCCTTCAGTTGTCTGAATCTTGCCTCCTCCCTTTCTCCAGCCCTCTAAAAACTCTTTGGTGTCCTGGCCGCCACCACCACCCCTATTATGCTGCACCCCGCCCCCACCCGCCCCACGTAGGCCC